AGAGGCGGGGGCTGCGGACGCACTATGGCGGGCAGCGGCTACACGGACCTGCGGGAGAAGCTCAAGTCCATGATGCCCTACCGGGACGGCCACAAAGGCGGCAACGGGGGCGGCGGCAGCAGCAACAACAACAACGGGGGGGGGAACCTCCCGCGGGAGCCCCCCGAACCCCTTTACGATCGCAAACGGCGGCACCAGGAGGACTCCGGCTCCGAAGCCAGCGACTACGAGGAGCAGAAGGAGGAGGAAGAAGCTCGGAAAGTCAAGAGCGGCATCCGCCAGCTTCGCCTCTTCAGCGCCGAGGAGTGCGCCAAGATCGAGGCCCGCATCGAGGAGGTGGTGTCCCGGGCGGAGAAGGGGCTCTACAAGGAGCACACGGTGGATCGGGCCCCTCTGCGGAACAAGTATTTTTTCGGGGAGGGCTACACCTACGGGTCTCAACTGCAGAGACGAGGCCCAGGCCAGGAACGCCTGTACCCCCGGGGGGAGGTGGATGCCATCCCCGAGTGGGTGCACGACCTGGTGATCAGGAAGCTGGTGGAGCACCGGGTGATTCCCGAGGGCTTTGTGAACAGTGCCGTCATCAACGACTACCAGCCGGGGGGCTGCATTGTCTCCCACGTGGACCCCATCCATATCTTTGAGAGGCCCATCGTCTCCGTCTCCTTCTTCAGCGACTCGGCCCTCTGCTTCGGCTGTAAATTCCAGTTCAAACCCATCAGGGTCTCGGAGCCCGTTCTCTTCCTGCCCGTCAAGAGGGGAAGCGTCACGGTGCTCAGGTAACTCGGCCCCGCGTCGCCAAGGCCTCCTCTAACGTGCCGGGGCTGGGTTGTGTAACGTTAATCACGAGGCACGAGGACGCACACCCTGACGGTGGCTCGGGCTCGATCTCGCCCACCCGGAGGCGTGTGGGGTCTCGCTGCGGTGGAAGGGGGTGAAGGAAAGAGCTGGGGGTGGGCTTCCTGCCGCCGCGGTGGATGTGGATAGGGTGGGTGGGTGGGGTGTCTTCTCCAGGCACGTCTTGGCGGGAGCGTGGCCGCTTGCGGAGCCGAGCTGTGCTGTAGTTCCTGTAAACGGTTAAAATAACACATCGAGACGTAAAATGGATCCCCCTGCCCAAGAGCGGTCAGAGAGGAGCAGCTGGTTGGGATGGGGCTGCTGGGTCTATTCTTAGCTTGGCCGGTGCCTTCCCGACCTGACCTTAAGCGTGGGGAAGGAGGTGTGAATGGCCTCGTCTTCCCAGTCTGGAAACTGGGAATGCTCAACCCTTCCCTGTGTGGTGCCCGTGGGGAGATGGGATCGCAGAGTCCCCCCCCTGTGGGACTGGCACTTGGAACCGTGGTGGGTCACGGGTGCCAGAAAGGACTTCACGTGCGCTCTCGCAAGGGGGGGAAAAGCTGTGAGAGGTGAAATGACCTGCCCAAGGTCACGCAGCCGGCCGGTAGGAAAGCTGGGATTGGCACTGGGAAACGCCTGCTTCCTAATCCCCACTGCCTCCCGGGGCAGGCAGGTGAGGGGACGGGCAGGGTGTGCACAGGCTGGTGTGGAAGGACACACCAGCATCCAGGTTTTGGGAAGGGTGGCCCCAAGCCCAGCACCGGCGCTGCCTGACTCGGTGAGGTGTCCCTGAAGGTCAGAGTGCTCCCTGCAGGGATGGCCGGACTCTGCCAGCAGTGCTCCAAGCAACCAACTGTATCCCCGTTTGGGGTCTTTAATATTAATTTTTTTGGACTGGTGAAGGTCCAGGTTGGTTTTCAGGGCTCCCAAGCTGTAACACAATCCTCTGCTTTGGCTTGTAAAGTGATCGCCGCAGGGTTCGGGAAGGAATTTCCCCCCCCACCTCCCCCCCAGCCCCATACGCACAGCCTCGCACCGTTGACTAGTGCATCAATAATAAATGCTGAGATCTCGCGTAGCTTTTATCTCGGAAAAGCTGCACAAACATTAACTAATCCTCCCTGTACCCCCTGCGTTAGGTAACTCCTGTGGATTAGCGAGGGCTGAGGGAGGCTGCAGAGGGAAGCGGGAACGGCGCTGAGGACATTTTCCTGTCTCTGGTGGGTCAGAGAGGGGCAGGGGTCAGGATGATGCTGTGAAATGGGACCAGAGGGGGGACCTGACCTGCCACATGTCCTTTTTACCACGGAGCAAGCTCCATCCCTGGGGATGGAGACTGCCAGGCGCGAGGCAGCCGTTCCGCTCCCCGTCATCTCCTCTTAGACAGGAGGAGAGAAACTTTCTACCCTAATTTTCCTGCTGGTGATGAGAACCCCTGTGCTGCCTTTCCCCAGGGGGAGCCTGGAGTAAATAGCTGTCTGTCCTTTCACAGCCAGAGGTCTTTTTGAAGGACAGCGAGAGGGTTTTTTTTTCTTGCTTAGGAGTGTGCTGGCAGAGCTGTTAACGCCGGGTCAGGCTGTAGTGTTGTAGTCGAAGCCATTAGGAAAACTCTCCTGGCTTTATATCTGAAGGAGGATGAGGACTTCGCAGTGGAGGATGGTGGGAGAAGGGAGAGGTCTCTCCTCCCAAAACTGCCAGGAAGAGGCATCTGGTTCAGGGCTCCTGAAACCGGAGCGGGGTGTCTCCCAGGCCTGTGAGTTTGAGTTGTTGGCCAGCGTCGTCTGTGTACCGTGATCAGCTTATTAACATGGCTGAAGCAATTGTACAAAGCAAACGAAGATATCTTTTTCTCTCTAAATAGAAGGGTTGCTTTCTAAGCGACCTGCCGCAGGCGTTCACTAGCTTAATCCATGGGTAGATGTTCTGCTTTCCAGCAAATAATAGAATTTAAACCAGGGATTATTTCAATTTTGGTACAGCAGTTAGCAGATACTTAGCACTCACTTAAGAGAGATTCTGCCAAAGTGATTGTTCTGTGATGATATGATCCTGGCTGGATACAAGTTCCTCGACTCAGGCAGACGTCCTGGTCTCCTGCTGGTCTCCTTGTCTCCCCTCTAACCCCAGCGATTTGGGAGGAGGGGGGAGAGGTGCAGACTTGTCGGTAGGCTCTCAGGGGTGTATCTCAGAAATCCAACCCTCGCTCGTGTTTAAGTCAACTTCCCAAACTTGGCTTTTTCTCCTCCCAGTAAACAGTTGCTGAAGGCAGTTGCCCTGGAGATAGGGAAACGGCGCAGATAGAAACGGCATGCTTGTAATGTCTGTGATTCAAATATTGCTGGGTCAGTGGCTGCTGCTGGCGTGCTGCCTGCCCGGGGAAGCCAGGGTAGTTACGTGTGTTTGGTTACTGTGTGGAAGTCATGAGGATCTAAAGAAAGCTGTCAGATGTCTCTCTTTGCCCCCACATCATTCTCCGACTCTTCCCCAGATCACCCACATCCTGTTCCTGCTCTCAGCAGCTTATTCCAAATTGCCCTCCTGATTTTCTAGCACCTACCTGGCAGGGAGTCCCTAGAGGGGCTTTCCCCGTGTCCCTCCCTTGACTTTATTTGCCTACCGTGAAGCAGGCTGTGGTGTTTGCAAACACTGAACCTCCCTCAAGCTCACTGGAAAGTATTCAGATCTCAAGATGATGGGTTAGTGTTTAAAAGGTGGACTGGAGGTTCTCCTGGCTGGGCTGTGCACCTTTGCCAGCAGGACAAAGGTTAAGCCTCCCCACGACCTGCTAATGAGCCCTTTGCTCTTCCAGCAAGGCACTTTTTCCTTTCCTTTCATACCTGTGGTGAAGATTTCCCCTTGTAGGTTTTGACATCTAGAAGAAAACGTCCTCCAGTCCCCTCTTCTCCCACAGCCCCAGGTTCCTGCAGGTTTGTCCTGCTGCTGGCCAGGCCAGGAGAAAGCAGCAGCAGCGCCTTGGTTTGTGCTGGTCTTTGTGGCCATTTGGAGTGAAGTTGGATTTCAATCCCATGGACCATCAGCTGCCTGTTGGGGGCTGCTGGCTGGACCACTTTTGTAGATTTTCTTTTTTTTTTTTTTTTAACAGATTTGTTGCGAATGGGATAAGGGGAAACAAACAACTCCTGTACAGTCAAATGTTGAATCTCTAAGCCTAAGATGCCTTGAGAGACCGTGGCTCTGGGTCTTTGGGTCAGCCGCTATTCAAGGGATATATCTTGAGCAATGCTTTGTCCTTACGCTCTGAATATGCTCTGGTAGAGCCAAAGCAGAGAGCTCTGCAGATCCAGCTGTCCACACTCTTTGAGCTCCCCTGCCAGTCTCATTTTTGCCATCTGCTGCGAGAGGTGATATCTGGAGTCGTTGACACCACCTCACCACTGTGTTTGTTTTTGAGACATTCACTTGACCTATGTAAAGATGGTGCTGCGGAATTTGATAAGCATCAATCGATAGAAGCGGTGGGGAGGAGGTGGAGGAATTTGCCCATTCATCTGGGGAACATGTGCTTTAAAAAATGCTTAGCCTGGAAAAAAGGGTGGAAGCTGGGGGGTGCAGAGCCAGATAGAGTGGGGGGTTGCAGCCGGACCCCTGCACTGTGCAGGAGCCCCACACCGTGCCCCATAGCTGCTGGCGTGGGGAACAAATCTCGACACCGAGCCGGCTTTTGTTTAGCTGCCGGATGTTGCTTCTCAGCACCGTGGTTGGAAATAGTGCAGTTGTCATTAGCCTGAGGAATAAATGACCAAAGGTAACATTTCCCAAGTTCTGAGAGCTTGTGTGCCATACGGGCTTTTCCCTTCTGCAGCTGCTGAGTGCTCCAGGTCCTCTCCCTGCTGTTTGTAATAGCAGCGGAAACATCATGATGTTTGTCTCTCCTCTTGTCTCGAGGCATTGCCTGATGGTAGCAAAATTGGAGCCGGTTGGAGTCTCCGGAGGGTGAGCCTGCTTTCTTCCCAGCCGGAGGAATCTCTCCGCAACTGCCTGGATTAGAGGCTTTTCCAGAAAAATCTGGTCCCTGAGACCAGGCCGTTGGCGCAGAGGAAGTTCTGCGTGTACCGGTGGTGATGAGGCAAATAGATTTGTTCAAGCTCTGCTTGAACTGGTCGCTGTCACATCCGTGGTTTGTGGCAGCAGCTTTCCTGAACCACAAGTAAAGCTTCGAGTTGCTCAAAGCCTGCGATGGGCCAGTGTGTGAGGTCCCTCTGCCCCTGAGCTGGCCTGGCTGTCGTCAACCCCTAGAAATGTTTCTTGTTAGAGACTCTGCAGAACTTCAGGGCCTCCTTTCTGGTGATGTTTGTAGAAAAAAATCCGCTCTCATCTCCACGTGAATCAGTTACGGTGCGGCTCGGCAGCAGCTCTTCTGGAGGGGAAAAAGAGACTCGGAGCAGAGTTGGGGATATAAGATCTGACAGGTTAGTTAGGAGTTGGACTGTTAATCTGCACCTCCCTGTGTTCTTCTGGAAAATGCTCTAAGCTGGAGATTTAGGGGTTTCCTTACCAAGTTCTCTTACCTCACGCTTTGATTTTGTTTTCTGGGCAAGAAATCTCTGGGTAGACCCTTGATATCATTATGGGTGTTTTGTTCCAGCATCTGCCCCTTCACCCATCAGCAGGATGCAGCAAGGCCGGGCAGTGGGTGAGAAGTTCATGCCGGCACAAAGCAGAACAAGGGTGACACAACCAAATAATCTTTTTCTTCCGTTTCTCAGCCTGGTACCTGTGTCTCCACCCTTTTGCTGGAGGGCCATGCAGAGACACACCGTTGTTATATCTGAGTTTTCCCACACCAGCATGGCACTGGAGCAGACTGGTGGGTCCCCATTAGGGCCTCGGGTGGGATTACTGGGGCTGTTGCTTTGGTCTTGCCCACATGGATCTGGGACCATGAGCTCTGCCTCATGCTGCCCTGAAAATGAGCTGGAAAGCAGGTTCCTGCCTGGGGAGCGAGAACGAGCAGCCAGGCTGGTATCTTGTAATGGAGAGCTCAGGTCTGGAAGCAGACCTTTTCCTGATGTTCAAGGTATCGCTGAGGATGTGCTGAGTTGAATTTTAACGTGGGTGATATTAATGAATTCGCTGGAGCCTGACGCAGAGATTCCTGGAACATAATAGAGCATCATTATAAGCCCTTTCGCATAGCGCTGTCTTGTTCTGCAATGCCCCGGAGGACGGGGGGGATGGACATCAACCCCTGTTTTAACTGATCAGGGTTTAGACTCTTAACTCTCTTCTCAGAGCAGTAAATCCATCTTTGAGGTGTGGTGTTCTCGGTGAGTGGGTGGGTTATCTAACCAGATAAAGAAAACCTGGTCCCATCCCCAGAGAAGACGTGTGTGCGTGATCTGTTCTCTGCTCTGAGTGTCCTGGGTAACCTGGAAGCCGATGGCCCTGGCCACGCTCCTGGAGGGCTGGCTGACAGCCAGTGTGGCAGCAGCTTCAGGGTGAAACCTTGTGGGGAGAGTGGGCTCAGTGATTCCTGCTTCAGGTTAAACTATTTGGGGTGTGCTAGCTTTGCCCAAGTCCCTTGTCCCTCGTCCAGAAGTCTTCTTGTCCTTGTCAGGGTTTTTTTGAAGGCTCTGAAGGCATTTACCTTCTCTTTTCCCTGTAGTGGACTCTAGAAGGCTCTTTTGTGAACGCTCTCCAAACAGCAGGTAGAGGGCAGGCCCACCTCTCGGACCTGCTCGTTAGCACCCACGTGAGTGATGAGATATGCTCCTGCCAGGGTGTCACATGGTGGGCAGCAGAGAAGGTGAGGGTGCTGAGATGGCACCATCTGTGCTGAGCTGAGGGGGGTGAGACATTCGACTCTACCACCACTGCACCCCCTCCTCGACTAACAAATGTTCTCATCGACTCTGGTACCTGTCCGTGTCTGGGTTTGCTGCATATGTCAGCCCTGAGAAATGGTTTATCTCAGGGACGTGCATGAGAAGATGCTTTGGAGCCATGTGCTGATTTTTTTCCCCCTGTTGCTCTCTAATTTCTTGATAAATGAATTAGCTGAATTTACACTCCGTAAACTCATTTTCTACATGTCTTATTTCACAATGTTGTGGCAGGTGGCAGTTTCCTCTGGTGTACACTAAAAGATCAAGTCAAAAAACAAAACAAAAGAGCCCCAAACTGTCCTCATTCCTTTCTGAAGTTTCTTCCTTCCTGTAAGTCTAGCTCCCTTATGCCTGGGGAATGGTGTTTGGAGGAGGAATTCCTGGTGGAAGTTAGGAAATGACTGGCCAAACTGAGTTGTTGAGGCTGGCAACCACTTTCTGCTTCTGCCTGTCATCTTTCTCACAGTGGCTTTTTGTTTTTGTTGTCAGTGGGTATGCAGCCGATGAAATTACACACTGTATTCGACCACAGGACATCAAGGAGAGAAGAGCTGTCATCATCCTTCGAAAGTAAGTGTTGAAGCCCTCTGGACAGTAAGATAAACTTGTACGTGGTGGGGTGATGTTTCCTAAGGTGCTTTTAAAGAAACACTTTAAAACTGCCTTGTCTGTTAATTTGTTGGCTTGATCTTAGATCTTGATTAGCTGTCACTCTGATGCTCGTTTGTGTCTTGCCGTACCCATCGCTTGGCTGGTGGAAGTAGATGGAACTTGTTACTGCAGAATTAATCACTTCTTGGCTCTGTGCAGCAGTTCTTCATTGTAATGTCTGTGTTTGCAAGCCCTGTTCGTTTCCAAACACCTGGCTTTCATCGGCTTCCTAACTCCAAACAGCTAGGATTTCAAACTCTCTTGTTTTGGGCTGCATATTCAGGTGTCTGATCGTATGATACCCACACGTGTGAGTTACCTGGACAGTTCTTTGAAGCTGCTGCTTGTGATGAAGAGTCTCCTATAAACCAGATAAAGTTTTCTTGGCAGCACGGTTTTCATTTCCTGGGGAGAGGGAGGAAGATTCTGGCTTTGAAGGGAAACGGGTGCAGTGAATTTAGTGATCAATTTACAGAGCTTGTCCTTTGAGTTGGTGTTGGGAAGCCAAGCTCTCTAAGCTGTATCGCATGCTTCCTATTTTAGAAAATACACTGTCCTGGTCAGCTGATGGCATTGCATCAGCCAATGCCTGTTCTAAAGCTCTTCAGAAAATGGAGAAAGAATAAACCAACCTCACCCCAAACTGCCTCTGTATAACCTTTCTTTGTGCCAAGAAATGTCCTCTCTTCTCAGTTCCTTCTACGAGGAGACCAAAAAATGTGACTGCCACATGTTCACCCATGTTGATTGTGCCTTAGGAGCTGTTAGCAGTAATTCTGCTGTCAAGAATCTTCTTGCAAGTGGAAACACACATGACTGGAGTACTGTAAACTCAAGACAAAAGCGTGGGCATGAGGGCAGGGCTGCAGTTGTGGCCCGGGCTGGCATAAGGCTGGCAGTCAAGCGGTCTGGATTCACACTTGCTGAGCTTTTGGACAGCTTAGTTGGTTTCAAAACAAGTCTGGCAACTTTGTGAAGATACGGCACAAAGCCAGTGGAGTGGAATTGGACATCTGGTTAGAGAAACCCGTGAAATGAAGGCAGGAAAAACAGCAGCCCTGAGGCGTGAGCCAAGCAAAATCAGCACAGACCCAGGGAGGCAGGATGGGATGTGGCAGGTGGGATCAAAGGAAGACAGATTAGAACCAAACCATCCCATAGCTGGTTACTGCCGCATGAGGTTTAAGGCGAGAGGGTTGCGATAAGAGCTCAAAGGCTGTTACGTTCTCCTTACTGGTTACTGCAGCCAGCAAAGCAGTGTGAGTGCTGACGTGCACCAGTGGAAGGCATCTCCAGATCCTGCAGCTGCTCTAGTTGGGCTTTGGGAGAGAGGAGCTGCCTGCCTTAGGCTGTGGAGCAGTTCCCTAGGAAAGACAGACTCGGCTAAATAAGCTAAAGCTGCCCAAATTGGAGCAGATATCTAATTTCACTGAATTTCACTGAATATAATTGTTTATATTGATTCAACCCCTTGCTTTCCCCAGCTTCTGTAAGCTGAGGGTGCTGAGTTATTTCAGTCCAGCCTGACTGCCCTCAAAGCGCAACTGGGCAAGCACCTAACTGTCTGAGATGTACCTGGCTGACCTGGTGCATCGCTGCTGGAGAGACAAAGCCTTTTTAGCTCCTAGCAGAGCCGAATTGGCTGCGTTTGCTTAGCCATCCTTCTGTAGCAGTGTGTCCTTCCATCTTCCCCTGATTTCAGGAGCCTGATTTGCTTAGTGTCAGAGCAGAAGTGTCTCTGCCCAGTCATACGCAGACAGCGATGGGCCGAGTTGACTTGCAGGCTGAAGGGAAACCACAACAGGATTTTTCTCTTGAGCAAAGTGGAAACCCCCCTGGTAATTATTTTTGTGTAATCTCCGTAGAGCTTAGCGGCCCCGGTGAATACATGGCAGTTGCCTGTTTGCCAAAGGGTGCGTGCTGATTGCTGCCAAATAGAGCTTATTAATTGCTGCTTATCCCTTGTGACGGCGGCCGTCTCCGCGCCCAGTCCCGTGTGCGTGCACGCAGGCACAGCGGGGCTGCCGCGACCTTTGTCTGTGCTCGCATCCCCGCGGCATCTATTGCTGCAAACCAATGTCCTTCCCTCCTCCCGCATCATGCGACTTCGTGCAGGCTGAAATAACATGTTATGCAAGCAGGAAAACAGCTCCTTCCTCTGCTAGCCCGGTTAGCACGAGAGGGCTTGGGAGCAGCCAGCCCGCCTGGTAAAACTCCTCTTCCTCCTCTTCAGCCTCAAGCTCTCCAGCACGACCGGATCCGTTAAGTCATACGGCAGCACCAACTCTGCTGCAGCTCAGAATTGGGATATTTGGCTCTGAATAGGCTGCCGGGCCCCAAACATTTGAGGCTGGATCTGCTCTTGCCTCTGCTCCGAGCGTGTGGTTCTAGAGATGGTTTTTGCTGGCAGTGGCAGAGCAAAGCCGCGCGAGCTGGAGAAGTGACTGAGTTTTGCAGGATGCTCGAGAGCAGCGTGGTTACCAAGTAGGTCATAAACACTCCAGTGTTTGTGTAGCTGCAGCGTGAGGGTATTTACAGCGTTCCCTGCGTATCGGCGAGCAGGACGGCGGGGAGACAGTGAGCTTGGGAAGCACTTTGAGCAAGAGGCTGGGGGAGAGGAACCATGCTCTCAATTTCAGGAAATGCCGAAAGAGGTAGGGGATAGAAATACGACCTATGGAATTGGGTCTCAAAAGTTGTTTTGGAGGGCTTCTGCTGCCATTTCTGAGCAGTTACAAAGGGCAGTCATTCTATTTAACTTGTATTTTTTAGGTAATTTGCTCTCCATTTCAGTACAGCCTCTCCTCGTACCTGCTCCTGCAGCTCATACCTGCATTGCTCTGCGGACGGAAAGTGTGGCTGGTGTTCCCTTGCCGAATAATTCTATTTAACTTGTACTTTTTAGGTAATTTGCTCTCCATTTTAGTACAGCCTCTCCTTGTACCTGCTCCTGCACCTCCTACCTGCATTGCTCTGTGGACGGAAAGTGTGGCTGGTGTTCCCTTGCCCTTGCAGTTTATTTGGTGGTTTGTTTGTTTGTTTTAATTGCAGCCCTGTAGTTGCTGTTGTATTTGAGAGGTATTTAAACCACCTCACTTGTCCGGGACAGGATCCACAACGCCTTTGGTGTTCCTAGCTGGATTGGGTCCAGTCCTGGAGCCAAGAACGGCCTTGTGGCCTGGAGCAGGCTCCAGCCTGGCAACTCCCTGCGGAAGTGTTCCTTGTTTCTGGAATGCTGGGCAGACTGGGGCTGCCGTGCCCAGCTTTGCGTGGGCCAGCCTGGCATCGCCCTGGTTAACTGAAGAGCCTCTCCCTGATGGTAGAAAGGAAGCTTGGCAACTGGACGTGCTTCCTAACAGGAGTTTAGGTTGGGATTCTCCTGTGGAAACCTCTCTCAGGAGCTAAAGTTCAACACTGGAGAGCAGGTAGTGATTCTGCCCTTTCTTTCACCCAGACCCCTTCTGTATTCACCCCTAATCCTGGGGAGGAAAACGGGCTGCAGCAACAATATCAACGTGCCTTTCCTTCTGGGAATTGGCTTGGATCCTCCTGAAATTGGCAGCTGTGGGGCACCAGCACCACCTTTTAGTGATTTTTGCCCAATTCTTATGCTTCAGTCTGTGTTTTGAAATAGACTTTAGCAACGCTTGTAAGCTGAGACTGGTAACTGTGCTGTGCCATCGAGTTTTCATTCCTGCTGCTCAGTCTGCTGCCTCCCTCCATGTGTGCGTGGCTGAAGTCGTCCCTGGGCCAGCGACAGCTCTGCTCTGGGGAGAGCTGTGCTTCCTCTCTGGTGCTGCTTGAGCATGTTTCTATCCCAGCACTATCTAGGTGGTGCTGCACTGCTGGGAGGGCTGTGGTGCAGCTTCTGTTTGCTAGACCTTCTCCTGACTCGCACATCAACTCTTACTCAAGCTGAGAAACGCCTGACCCCACGAGATCTTGAGACAGTAGGGAGTTTCCAGATAGAAGCAGTTATTACTGTTGTAGGTGATGATGAATTTTGCAGGGTATCTCCCAGGTGGCTGAACTGGAGCTGCGAGTTATTGACGAGTCACTGTGATTTCATGGGATTTCACAGGGGCTCCAACGCCCCTACTCTCTATCCCATGACTGGAATTGCAGTGAGCCCAGCACCGTTCACATTCATCTCATGACCACGCTGTCCCTGAGCCTTCCTCTTCCCTCTAACCAAGGCAGCAAATGTTAAACCTGAAGCTTTAAGTATCAGAAAGCTGCAGCTTGTTCTGCTGTTGAGTGTAATAGTCCTGACCCTCTTCCTGAGCCATGTGGCTGGGATTGAGGGTTCTGCTTCAGCACATCTAGGACAGAAGTCTGCTGCAGCACACCAGTGGTTCTGTACAAACTCTTTGCAAATTCTCTTCTCTTTAAATATTTGCAGAACAAGACTAGATGCACCTCGATTGGAAACAAAATCCCTGAGTAGCTCTGTGTTGCCACCAGGTTATAACTCTGACCGTCTCTCGGGAAGCAACCGGGACCAGATCCTGAAACCAAAGCGGTCCCATCGCAAAGCAGATCCTGATGCTGCTCACAGGTAGGACGATCTCTCCCAAAAGCCATGTTTTGGATGGTATCTCTAGGTCAGTGCATGTTTGAGGCTCCTGGCCTCTGATAAGAGAGACTACACAGCACACTTAAAAACATCTTAGGTTGCACCTCCCAGGTGCTTCCTGTGGTGTACAGATCTGTTTTATCAGAATGAGGTTCTTTATATGTTCCTCCTAGGCTTGTGGAGGCTAAGCTCTGGCTGTAAGCAGCTTACTTTGTTTATCCTGTGAGTGGCATAATGAAGAAGCAATAGATTTGGCTGGCTCTTGATAATGCAGTCATTCAGAACAATAGTTTCCCTGCAGCTAATTATTTTTGACCTCTATTGCCAAGCAACCTGTGCAGCTGCGTTAAACTGTATTATGAAAGCAGTCTTGGGAGAGAACGTGAGGTTTTGCTATCTGGGAAAGGTGAAGGTCTTCTTGGGAAGCTTCTCAGAGCTGTTTTGGTTCCAGAGCTGCATGTGTATATTTTTGTGTGTGTAACCAGACTGTGTGAATGGGTAAACCTGACCTTCAGCTGGAGCTCCTCGCTGAGGTTTCAGACAGCTTGAGCTCTGCAGCAAGGCTTCCCTTAAACACCACCGTGCTCTGTGTGAACGTACTGATAGCCGTGAGCAATAGCCAGTCTGCCAGCTGTCTTGCAATATTTCTGGTATTCTCCAATTCCAAAGCTTCCTGAGGATCAAGACGGTGTTCTCTGCACGTGGTGTGAAAACCAAAAGTTGGCTTGGTCTCGGGGCTTGGCCGCTGTGCGGTCCCAGCCCGTGTTTCAACCTGTCCTGGAGGGGAGGAGGGTGGGGATGGCGTGTTTATGAGCAGTGTTCATTCACCTGGACTCAGAGTGACTGGGAAGGTAGATGGAGAAGAGAAGGCAGCCTGGAAATGACAGCCTACCTCTGAGCACGCGGTGGGCCGGTGTGTGATTAGAGAAGCGATCACGCAGGACAAATCTGCAGATCCGTGAGAGCTGTTTTTCAGCCTGATGTGACCTTATCAGGGTTGGGGTGGGGGGGGCTTGCATAAACTTCTGCACCAGATGGGTATCAAAAACATGTTTTTCTCTTCCTTTGGCCTCAGTGACTCCAGATTAACACATGTAAATAGCCTGGATATCAGATAGTGGTATCTCTTGGAGGAACTTGGCAGTTGGCACCTGGGATAAAAAAAATAAGTGGTCTGTGCAGCCCACCAGCCCAGTCCTATGAGGAAGTGATTGGAGGCCAGAGCAGAGGCAGCTTTGCAGAATAACAATTGCACTGATCTGCTAATGTTTGGGAGAACTAGAGAGGACAGAGGAGTTCAGAGCTGTGGTTTCATCCTGCACCACAAGCACCGCAGCAGCTAAAAAAGGAGTTTGGCTCTGTGCTGTGAGTTCTGTAGGAGAGACAGATCCCTCTGCCTTCTTGAGGCCACACGCTGCACTTAAAAAGAGGTGACTGGGCTGTTTGGAAGTGTTCCTGGTGGAGGGAAAGACCAAAACTTGCCCTGGGAAGGGGAAGTACTTGCACCATTGAAAGCGAAGTTCTCAGCCGCCTCATGGAAGGTGCAACTTGGTGATCTGTTCCTGTTCTGCTGGGTGCCCAGTACTGGGAAAGCAGTGTGGAAACAGTCAGTCATATTGCTCTAAGTATGCAAAACTGTGGATAGTGTCTGCACACGGAATGTCTGAATCCTGTCGTGGATGTGCTCTCACTCCCTCTGTCTCTCTCTCTCCATAGGCCACGGATTCTAGAAATGGATAAAGAGGAAAACAGGCGCTCAGTCCTCTTACCAAAACATAGGAGGCGGAGCAACTTCAGCTCCGAGAACTATTGGCGAAGGTCTTACGAGTACACAGAGGACTGTGACGAGGAAGAGGAGGATGGCAGCCCAGCCAGGAAAGTTAAAATGAGGCGACACTGAGGATTGCACTTTCCAGGCTCGTGGAGCTGATGAGATTGGCCTCCAGTCTGTGAAAACTTTCTCCTCCCTCTGGCTATCTTCCATCTAGCTTCAGTTTTGGTTTTTCCTTTCAGGCTGAAGAGTAAACAGGAAGGATCTAGCGATTTCTTTTTATGAATGGAGGAATGCTGAGACATACGTAAGGATGGAACATGTCCAGTGCACATGGTGTCCTGAGTCATGGGTCAAACGGGCATCCCTCCCTTAGGAAGCAGATAAAGTTATGCCAGGCTGTCTGTTGGGATTTCTTTTGAAGACACCAAAAAGTTTAACTGTTTCATTGCGCAAGATTCAAGAATTGTATTTTCGGTTTTTTGGTTTTGTTTTTTGTTTTTTTTTTTTGCTTTAACTTTCTTCCTTTCCAAATGTTCTAAATATGATGTTTGACCCCAGGAGCTGAAATTCTCTGTGGTGGCCTCATATTCTTTGCTTCACCAAAGGGCTCCTTGGTCTGCTCTTACATAGTTGTTGTTGGGTTTGTTTTAAGGGTGCCCTGCAGTAACTGGAAGTTTGAAGCTTTGCAGACCCCTCTTACTGCAATTGATTTCAAAGGGTTTAGGACATTTTTGTTGCACTTTAGTACCAGTTTTAAATGCCGTAGGTTTCCTTTCCAGTCCCTTTTCCCAAGCCAGCGTGGGCTCGCAGCCTCGCGTCCCTGTGCTGCCCTCTCCGAGAAGAATGTACTTGAGCTCTGGTTTCTCAGTGCTGGTCTGACCAGGGGTGTGTTTTGGTTGAGGAGGAAGGAAACGTGGGCTGGCTTCACTGAGGCTGGTCCAACGTTGACCTGAGGTCCATATTGGAGCTCCGGGGCTGCCGAGTGAGCGATCGCATTGAGTATGTGCTGCTTCCCAGAGCTGGAGATAGCAAAGAGGAGTAGGAGAGACGCTGTGCTTGTGGGGACACTCGCCTTGGGACCCCCCTGAGAAAAGCTCTTCTCCACTACCTGGGGGACTGGCTTTCAGCCCTTTGCCCCTTTTAGGTGGAGAGTGTTGAGATGGCACAGCACCCCATCCAGAGGGACCGACTAGGCTCTGTCAGAGCAGGAACAGACACTGCCCTGGCCTGGGGGGAGCTGGGCAGCTCGGCTGCGGTCTGTCCCCTCCGAGGCTGGCTCTGGGAGCGAGGACACTGCAAGGGTCTAGTTTGGCCCCAGTTCAGTGCATTCAGCAGCTACTAGTGCAGAAATTGCCCGCCGCCTCCTGGCTTATTCCTGCTAGAATTCCTGGGGTTGGGAGTTTTCTGGTTGCTACAGAAAACGCTGAGAGGAATAGGAATTTGCCCCTGTGGAGTTAGCCTTAGAAAGTCTGCCTCCTTCCTCCACCCGGTTTGTGTTAGCCCAGACCAAAGCCTCGGCATTTTCAAAGTTTGGGGCCTAACACCATATTTAGAACCGTACTTTTAGGAAACTTCCTCCAATTGATTCTTTAAACCCAAGTGTTGGCAGTTGTAAGGAGTAGTATTATTTTTAAATTTTTACTGCTTTGCCCTCCTTCAAATTGTAGTTCTTAGTGTTGTGTCCCCCACACACTTCATGGTCTGCACGCTTGGCAATAAAAAGATGTAATATATTTTGAAACCCGTTTGCTGCTGTTTTGAGGGGCTCCCAGTCAAAAAAAAAAAAAAAAACAAACAAAAACAACAAAACCCAGGCATTGTTCCCCAGAGCGCCGTTCCTTGGCGATCGAGCACGTTTGCTGACATCTGGGTCTCGGTGTCCTTTTCCTCCCCTGCTGACTTCTGCCACTCGCCCACTGTTGGGGTTACTGCTGAGGCTGGATGTAGCAGCCATCTTAGTGCAAAGGAAATTACCATCACCTTCAGCACTGCTGATCTGCGAGGGGTTCATAGGTGAGATCCCCAGTGCCTGTCTCTGATTTTCTTTTTCTGATTGCTTTCCTGGTGAGAGCCCCCGTTGGCTCGGTGCAGAGGTACAGGCAGAGACTTGCGGCCCAGAGGTCTGAAAGTTCATGCTTCTGCTACTTCTGAAACTTTCAAACAGCCATTTTCAGACCACGCTTAGCATTTGAAGCAGTGTTCCTCGCCCTCCCAGCTTTCTGCAAAGAATCTGGGCCAGCTCTTGGCTACAAACCCCCTGTTTTGGAAAGTTTGGCGTTTCCCTGATAGCAAAACCGTGTGCTGGGGGCAGCGTCCCTTCTCTTCCTTACAGCTGGTGCAAACATCTCCGGCAAGCTAGAGACCTGCTAGCAGGATGCCTAGCAATGGCTGGTTCTCCTTGTCTTTCTGGATTCATCCTGGATGTGCCCCGTGCCCCCTTCAGTGTCAGGCTCTGCTGTGGGTGGCAGTGGTCGCTGCCAGAGGTCTCAGCTCTCCACAGCCTGTTCTCCCCTTCTTCCCCCCTGCACCAGCTCCCAGTTTTACTCCTACCTCTGCAATATGGATACTGTACCCCGGTGTCTCAACTCAAAATGAAGCTGGAGGCAACCTGCCCTCCCAGAGCAAGGCTCCCGTTGGGTCTGTCTCCACTGAACAAGGCATCCTGAGGGCTTGGCTCTAGCCTGGTACCAACCATCACCTAATCCCTGTCCTTGTGCAGTCTGTACACCTGCAGGTATCCTTCCTCTCCCGGTTTGTTTCGGTATTCCCGCATACCATGGTTGGGAACTCTCCCCTCCTTCCTTTCCCCTTGCCCCCATCTGTGCGGTGGGTCTGAGCTGGTGGCCGTGGCTGGAGGGACAGGAGAAGCCCCTCACCCAAGCTGCTTTCCAGCCACCATCTGTATGCGCTTGGTTTTCAACCTGACTGGTTGGGGTTTGACACCACGGAGAGAGAGTGGGACGCAACCAGTCTGACCTGTATCATCTCTTGGGCGAGGAGTCCCCAGCGTATAGGCAGGCCATCTTCCCCACTTGTACAGACATTTTCTATACACAACGGATGTATATGTGTAGATAACATGGTTTTTTAACTCTTTTGCACTGAACAACATTGGAGCGAAACCTTGATTTGAAACCAGAAGACGCATTTTAACGTGAATCCAGATGTCTAGATCCCTTAACTGTAACCTGTCTGGTAAATCTGTGGCTCAAAAACGCTGGTGATGCCCGTGCCTGTTGTCTGTCGCCGGCTGTGTCGGGCTGCCTGCAGGATCCGGGTCAGGTCGGTGGCAGGGGTCTGCTGCGGGGGACAGAGGGTGGTGACCTTCAATTCGGAGGCAAAACTTCTCCCTCTCTGCTCCGTGGGACGGGCTCGTGCACAGACCTGACCCGCTCAGCTTTGTCCTGTTTGTCTGGTGCAGTCCCACCTCCTCTCCATCCACCCGCAGCGTGTCGTTCGTGTAACCTGCTCAGCCCAAAACTGGGAACAAGGCTACGTCCGATGTGACAATCTCATGCGCCCCAACCCACAGCCCAGACCGTGAGAACCATCTCTCCTAAGGAAGGGGGAGGAAGGTGGGGTTTGTCCCCGCTTTTCCTCAAGCAGCGGGAGGAATTGGGTTTTGTCACTGCTACCCGTATCTCGAGAAGGCTCGGCCATCGAGCAAAAGCTCTTCCATCGTTTGCGTGGGCTCCATGTGTTTGTAGGAAGAGAAGGGAGGGCTGTTTGCCGGCGGTGGGAGATGAGCTGGCCCAGGCAGGAGCTGTTGGTCTGTGGGCAGGTCCTTGCCCAGCTGGGCAAGCAGCAGGGGAGCCCACCTTGCCACATCTGGCTCCACAACTGCTGAACTCTCATCTAGCTGTTAGTGAGGTGAGAGCTGTGATCCCCATCCCAAGTCTTGGCTCTTATTGGAATTTGGGGGGGGTCCCCAGGACCTTTGGCTTTCGGCACTGTTAGTGCCTGGCGCTCGCACCTATGTGGTCTGAGCCCCATGGGTCCCCATGGCTGCTGTGCTTTGAGGAGGGCTTGGGGGGGTCAGGGTCTGGACCCCCACCAGTGGAAAATAGTCTTTTATCTGCCAAAAGCGTTCCCTTTCCCGGTTGGGAGGAGAAACGTTCAGCTGAGAAGCGTGTCTCTGCTCCCTTCTGTGCCCCTGCCCACACTTACGAGTTCTGGCTGACTTTAATTTTGGTTTTTTTTAAAGATTCTAATTTTTTTTTGTTACAAATGAAAAAAAAAAAAGAGAAAAAAGAAAGTGGCAATATTTTTTTCCGTAAGCTTTTCCTAGGAAAAAGCGTGGTTTGTAACAAAGTTGTACAGTTCTGAAGTTTGAGATACGAGAAGTACTGTGTGAAACGCTGTAAATGGGGCAGAGATTATTTTATGTACAGTCTGACGCGGGGGGAATCTTTTAATTCTGGTTGATTCTTAGGAAGAATTTGGTTCTTCGCTGTCAGGGTTTGGAATTTCATGGTTTCATTATTATTATTATTATTATTTTTCTTGTATAGATTGCTGCATTAATTGAATAAAAGCAGAAAGCATCGCTCTGCCTGCCTGTGTGGTGGTGCCAGTGGCTGGGATGTGTGCCTTGCTTCTCCACCAGCAGAAATGAGGTTGCAGGGAGCGGGGAACCGCTTCTAAATAAAGGGAATCTCTGGTTCCCTGGGGATGGGGCAGCCAAACGCTGTGTCTGTCCCTCCTGCGCTGCCCTAGAAAGCAGGGATGGGGCTCACTGCCCTCCTCCTCTCTATCTGTGGGTAGCAAAGGTGGATGCTCTCCCCCTCCAGTTCCTACCCACCCCAAATAGCCCCAGCACCCTGTGGGGGCTGCACCCCAGTGCTTTGGCCTCATGTGCAGCTCCTCATCCTCCCTGCAAGAGGGAGATGGCGATGGATGGGTCTGTGGTGCCAAAGAGGGGATGGGATGGATGGATGGACGGATGGGGTCTGTTGGCCTTACATGGCAGCCTTCCTTCTCCTCTTCTGAGATGATCTCCTGCTTGGGGTCTGGCAACATTCTCTCCATCATCCACCCTCGAGCTCTGGGGCTGTGCATGGGCTCAGACCCTCTTTCCTCCATTCAGGAGCCTGTCATTGGGGCGTCGGGGAGAGGGGCTCCCCCGCTTGCCTCTAGGGTGTTTTCCACCCCAAAAAAATCTGCGTCACCTCAATGCGGTATCTTCCCCATGGCCGTGGTTAGTCAGCAGGGAGGGGAAGCCCTGCCCTGCCTGGGGTGACTCACCCCAAACCTGGGCGCAGGGCAGGGTTCTCCCCCTTCACCCTGGGCCCAGGCCATGTCATGGCAGGGACAATCGGTCTCCAGCCGAGGACGGGTCCCAAATACTACTGGCAGGAGCCAGCAGGGTGCTGAGGGCAGGGCCAGGGGGGTGCTGAGGGCAGGGTGCATCCTGCCGGCATAGGGCCCAGTGGCCGTGGTGCCGCCATGTCATTGAGGCACTCCATGGCGGTGGGGCCCGTAGGCCAGGATAAAGCCCCAAATCCAGGATAGCCCAAGGCCGTGGAGACCTCGAGACATGGATGAGCAGCCCTCGCTGTGCCCCAACCAACCCAGAGAGAAAAACCGAAAGAGAGAGGGGAAAAATTTAATATAAATAAATAAAGCGCCCACAGAGGGCGCCTGAAGTGAAGGACTACAAGTCCCATCGGCCCCCGCGGGCGCGCATGCGTGACGCGGGTGGGCGGGGCTACGCCGCGCGGTGCGGGCGGCCGCGCGCTGATTGGCGGTCGGGGTTGTCCGTCAGAGGCGCGCGCCCCGCCCCGCCCCGCCGCGGCGGTGCCTGCCCGGGGCTCG